AAAAGTCTTCTCCAACACCACAGTTCAAAAGCGTCAGTTCTTCGGTGCTCAGCTTTCTTTATATTCCAACTCACATGACTACTGGAAAGACCATAGCCTTGACTAGACAGACCTTTGTTGGCAAAGTAACATCTCTGCTTTTTAATATGCCGTTTAGGTTGGTCATAGCTTTTCTTCCAAGGAGCAAGCATCTTTTAATTTCATGGCTGCAGTCACCATCTGCAGTGATTCTGGAGCCCAAAAACATAAAGTCTCTCACTGTTTCCATTGTTTCTCTATTTGCCATGAAGTGATGCGACCAGATGCCATGATCTTAGTTTTCTGAATGTTGAGTTTTAAACCAACTTTTTCAGGGCCCCATAAAGGCCACCAAAACTGATGACCGATAGGGTGCCCTTCTAGCCCGACCAAAGCCTCTTCACTCATCTAGCAGGACCACTGAAAACTGATTTCTCTCCTTGGACAAAAGCAATGGAAGCAACATGACAGAGCAACCTCGGGGTGTCCCAGGGAGGCCTCCTTCTCCAGGGAGAAGCTCAGAAGCTAGTTTTCAAGCTTACACAGTTTGGGTTTTGTCCAAAGATGAAAAGGACAGGTGGAAAGAAGAGCCTAGACTACTGAAAATCAGGAATGGCATGACCCTGGCCACAGGAAGAGAGAAACTGCTGTTTGGAGCAGAAGGAATAAGGCAAGACAAAGCCTTGGCATAAAGGGAAGGAAGCAGAGGGCAAGATGGTGGGACAGATGGGGAGACAGAGGCTTCTGGGGGCAAAGAGGACATCATACAGAAAAGGAGAAAGGGGGAACTGAAATTAATGAGAAATAGGGGNACAGGAAGAGAGAAACTGCTGTTTGGAGCAGAAGGAATAAGGCAAGACAAAGCCTTGGCATAAAGGGAAGGAAGCAGAGGGCAAGATGGTGGGACAGATGGGGAGACAGAGGCTTCTGGGGGCAAAGAGGACATCATACAGAAAAGGAGAAAGGGGGAACTGAAATTAATGAGAAATAGGGGATACTTTGGGCTTTCCTGGTGTCTCAGTGGCAAAGAATCCACCTGCCAATGCAGGAGACACAGGAGATACATGCTCAATTCCTGGGTCAGGAAGCTCCCCTGGAGAAGGAAATGGCAACCCCCTCCAGTATTCTTGCCTGGAAAATCCCACAGACAGAGGAGCCTGGCAGACTATAGTCCATGGGGTGGCAAGAGTCAGATGTGACTAAACAACAACAGGGCGGGGGGTCGGGGGAAGGGACTCCCCTGGCAGTCCAGTAGTCAAGACTGTGCTCCCAATGCAAACAGCACAGGTTTGATTCCTGGTCAGGAAACAAAGATCATGTATGCCACCTGACACAATCAAAAAGATAAAAATGAAAAATAAGTCAGGAGAAATATGGGATGGGGGAGAAAGTGTACCAAGGCAGTGGTTGCAGGCCCTGCAGAGCCTCCCCACTGCTCCTGGAATGGATGCTAATGGAGGCACTGTGCTTCCTAAGCCATGTTTATAGGATGCTGAGAAATCATGTTGTATCTTTTCTTAAGAAAGACGTTGGAAAATGAAAAGCTTCTGGGGAGCCTATTGCAGAATAGCAGTGAGAGGTAGGATGGTTCTCCTTAACATAGCTCTGGGAACCAGCATTTCAGAGGACCAGGGCCAGAATACAGGTGTCCCAAGTAGGGCTCAGGGCTTCCCTGGTGGTTCAGACACTAAAGAATCTGCCTGCAATGCAGGAGACATGAGTTTGATCCCGGGGTCGGGAAGATCCCCTGGAGAAGGAAATGGCTACCCACTCCAGTACTCCTGCCTGGAGAATTGCATGGATAGAGGAGCCTGGTGGGCAACAGTCCATTTGGTCCCAAAAAGTCAGACGTGACTAAGCAACTAACACTTTCACTTTCAAGCATGTTTCAAAGCACAGAGTGAAGGACATGGAAAGAGGCCCTTTAACAAAGGAGAGTTAAGGAAACAGAATGTGGACCTTAATCAGACTCAAGCTAGCAGGGCAAAAGCTAGCCCCCTACTGGTGGCTGTGGAAGCCGTACTCAGCAACAGTAGATGTGTGCCGAGTGCTGAGTCAAGTGCCAGGCACTGTATGTGGGTTCTTCATTTACTCCATGCAGCAAACCAAAGAAGGAGGCACCATTAGTATCCCCATTTTATAGATGAGGAAGTTGAGGATCAGTGAGGTTTTAGTAACTTGCCCAAGGTCTCATAGCTATAGGTGAGATCCAGGATTCAAACTCGAGTTTTAGACCACTAAGCTATAGTATCCCCTAAATATCCTGTGTCAGGACCTGCATTGGGAAGACCTCATTGGACCACTGTGAAATAAAAATCCAATTCTGGGGCACAGAGACCCAATTAAGCTAACTCGGGAGGTGACGTCTCAGTGAGACAGGGCCATTCTCTGCTTTTCTCCCTCCCCCGACACTGTGATCTCAGGCCACCAGTAGCCTACACTCTGGCAGGGACAGCTTCTTCCCCAGGTGAACTGGTGATCCCTGTGAGGGTGATGGCAGACTTGTACTTGGACAGGAGATGCATGCTCTTGTCCTGGCCAGGCCCACAGGGGACAAGCATCAGAGAGCCAGACTTCTGCTATTGGGGGCCCAGGTTGCCAGGATGGAGAGCCAATGGACAGAAGGGAAAGTCCCTGGAGATGAGGGAAGGAGATTCCTGCCTGGACAGGAAGCTCTAAGAATCTGGAAGACGTTCTAAAGGACAGAATCTACCAGAACAAAATCCTTCCCTGGCAAAGTTGTGACCTCTGTTACTTTATTTCAAATTCTAAACAAAACAAATATACATACAATGAAATCCACCACCTCCCAGAGCCAGGCCTCATGGGGTCCAGGAAAGTCTGGGCAGAAATCTGGAGTCTGAAAGGAGAAGACCTATAAAGGAAGCCATGTCCTGGGACCCTCAACCACTGCCAGTCAGGCCTGGCCCAGGAAGTGGGATGCTGGATTGGGTCTCCAGGTTGAATTTGGAAATTAAGCTTCAGCTCCTCCAAGTAGACCTGTCCGCAGAGGCTGTGCAGCCTGGGTTAGTGAGGCCAAGGACACTCTTTTTCCACTGTTTGGGGGTGGCAAGCTTACCTAGCGGGGGGGGCGGG